TTAAGTATTCTGTTAGAATTTAATGATTATATTAATTATATTTTAGATTTTTTATATTTAAAATGAGATGTTTATCCTGTATTTGATTGTGTTTATCTACAGTTAGTTACACGAATTCAGATATGGGATGAAATCGGATAGGGATGAAATCGCTTAGGGATGAACGGGTTTAAGAGTTTTTAAGAGTTTTAGCCAAATGTTTTATAAGATAGTATAGATTATATCAATCATAATACCATCCAAACAAAACATCCTAAAAAAGATCGTCTAAAAAAGATTGTTCAAAACAAAACATCACCAAACTAAAATAAATCGATCTTACCACCTGTAAATTTAACCCACCCCTCACACCCCTCTTCGCTCAAGCGTAACCAAACATTCCTATAATCAGTGTTTTGGCTGCAATATGTAAAGTGTTGTGTCATACAATGCAATTTGCTCCCACCCAAGTGTTTCCAACTTATCAATGCAATGATCGATCTCATTCTCCCCTGGTGGTTTGTTCAAGATCTGTTTAACATGTGTCACAACCCTTGCTAAATCATCCTCATTTTCCAAACGTTGTTTTCCTCTTTGTTTTTTCCTTTGAGATTGGGGACGAAAAACAATCTCTTCTTCCGAAGGAAGTGGTTCTTGTGTTAGATCATAATAGTCTTGTGTGCCATAATCTTCAGCAATTTCAGGAGTCACACTAGAAGGGTTCGGAACAGTAACAGTTGGTCCCAAGTTCCAACACCGGTGGAAGCCACACCATCAAACAACTGAATACAAAGTTGAGGAAAGGGAAGAGGTGAAGTCCGCAACTTCTCAACAAATTTGTTTTGCTGTTTATAATAGATTAATAAGTATATATAAAAGAAGAATTTAAGAAAATAATCTTAATAGGAAAAGATCAAATGTGACCTTCATTTCTATTTGTCATTCCTCTTCTGACAGATTAAACATGTTTGTTAATGCATCATAAACATTACCCGTCTTGTTTCTTAACTTTGCCTATGCTCCATACTTTCCTTGAGGTAATCATAATGGTTTTTCATTTGTCGTTCAACAACAAAATTATGATTCTTTTGTAGCACTTCTGCTACATTCTTCCAAGAAACTGCCTTAAGACTACCCCCTTCTCGTCCATTTACGGAGATCTCATGCAAACAAGACTCGATGAATGTTTTCACCACATTTTCTTTTTTCCAGTTAACCCTAGGCTTTTTTTGATTGTGAAGATCTGCCAAAATTTGTCATATCTAAAACATTAACCATCATATCATGATTAGTTCAAAGGTGCATGTCTTGTAGTCCAAATAATTAAAGGT